ACTGTATACCGACGGTAGGTCAAGGAGCTTCGGAAGAAACGTAACGGTTGAATTACTGCCCAGGTAGCACAGTGTCGTCTGTTACACCTGTAGACGGAAAAAGTAGGACGCGCTGGCACATTTCGCATCACAGAACAACCAATGTATGTACGGCCCAAAGGCTGTCCAGGGGCCCTTGTTAACCCGGGCGACGACCCAGCCGGTATGGAATTATTCATAGTGGTGTTCATCATAAGAATAAAAGAGGCACGTGATGCTATATAGTATAATGACCATGCAAGTGCCAGTACATGGCCTAACAAAAGTAGCACATGATGTGAAAATAGTAATTAACCCTGTGTGTGCTAGCACATGGCTAAACTACGTATAGCAACTAAAATAAACATAGGTCTGCTAGGATAACTCCTAAAGGAATTACTTACACCAACCATAGAGGCCTGTATCGGGGACTTGCACGAAATAACCGACCGTCCACCAGCGTACAAAACCAAGGCTGTACATGACAATTCAAAGACGACAGCATGATTGACGGCAGCGAAAAACGCAATTGTGAAGGCAGCTTTTCAACTTTAGAGTTCGCATGTTTGTGAAAAGCGCAGTAAACAAAATTGGTTTTAACCCAAAACTTGCACCTACCAGCATGCATTGCTGGGCTTCACTGGTAATGGAGCATTTTTATCCTGTAAACCCTGAGTTTACATCATAAAATTTACGACAAAATGAAATTGTTACGATTTTTAAAAAGCCTCGCATGACGTCATTGACGTCATATGGCGGCTATCGCTCTCGGTGTCGGCACAGTGAGCTAAGGGACCGTAATACCCTGGGCCCTAATACAAGACTTCCTTCCTTCTTTTACCTTTGCTGAATTGCTGTTTGTGTGTCTTTTTGCATGGAAAAAGGTTAGTCTTTTGTGATTTTAAGTTCTTGAACACTTTGCAACTTTATTTCATTTACGCTAGGCATGTGTAATCAAAATTCACAATTTCAATTTGCATTCACACGGTGAATCAAGTCGTAAATGATAATCATTCTTTATCTTCGGGTCTGTCAATTCCCTTCAATCTATGAATTTCCGTGCGGAACCCGTGGATATATGATATCCTTATATTCATAACTTCATTGTGTATCTGTCGAACGTTTTGTTTTTTTTCGTTTTAACTTAGCAATTAAGCTTCAAGATATGAAATCAATTGAGGTCCCCGTTTATTTTCGTTTGTTTATGGGGTGTTTGATATTCAAATCGCAGTAATACCCAGCCAGGAGTAGAATGCTGGCCTGGCAGTCAGAAAATTACACTGATTTTCTATGAAACGCCTCGCTGCAACCTCCTGAAAGTATTCTATCTTCTTTTAGTCGATTTGCTAAGCGAATAGGGGAAAGTGAGCGACATTCTAAGTTGGCTAAGCACAGTCAGTTTCGTTCTGCTTGCTTGAGCATAGAATAGAATGAAATCGCCGTTAGTTCTTTTACTACTAAATCATTTCCTAGGAAAGGAAAACATTCTATTTCACATCAAACTCGTTGCCCACAAATGGGCTCCACTTAAGAAAGCAGTCAAAAATAGGGTACAATACCATGGGGAACGTTGTAATAGAGGGCAATTCATAGCACATTGGAATACCACGTTTTAAAATCGTATATAATCGACTCTCTAGGACCCACAAACTATTTTATCACGCATTACACGAAAAAAACTAAAATTTTTAGTGATATGAGCTGTTCTTTTAGTTTCTGAATGGCGATTTTGCAGTATTTCGTATCCGTGGTGTAGTTAACGTGCAAATCTGTCACCGAACTACCATGGTGCAGCAATGGCTAAAATGATTCTCCCGTTACCAATCTTGATTTATCCTTTAGAATTACCTCTTGGTCCCATTGTTTTTATCAGAAAGTGGTTTTGTGATGGGTTTATGGATGATTGAGACCATTGGCCTTAGACCTTACTTGATCAGGGGCACCCAACGTCAATTTTCGGAAAATATCTGTTCGGAAGACGATTTGAGATCTAGAATTTTCGGAACATTTTGTGTAAAATTTCTTGCTAGCCTGCTTCTCCTAGGATTTTCGAACATCTAAAAATTGGTAAAAATGCCCATTTTAAACGGATTTTTGCCCTAAAAAGGTCACCTAGAATTTTCAGGAGCCTTTTTTCTGGCTGAAATTTTCGAAAAGGTAAGTTTTAGCTAGTTTTGATCCCTATAATTTTCGGATCACTAGACTTTCAGCTAGGAAGTCCGAACAGATGAAAAATTTTTAGGGGATAAAAATATGCCTATATCTACCGATTAAATACCAAAATACATTTAACAACGCTATGTTTAAGCGGTTTTGAACTATATTCTCGTTGGGTGCCCCTGGTTGATACATTTTACTTGGAGTGGTCTCAAAAGTTAATGACCTAAGGCAGGCTGGACCTTCGTTCATGTAATCTACTTTTTATTCCATCAAGGCTTAATGCCAAGTCTGATAGTCTAGTTTCATGTCAGCTGTCTCGACTTTCGGCCAAAGAAAAAGGTAACCAAAACGTGTCCTAAGCCTTCTTCGCCATCTCTGTACGGTTTTATTTGCAGTCACTCGTAAGAAAGGCACTGATGTTGTAAAGACTCCTTCTACTCACTACGCCGCCTTATTAACGCCTGTTGGCTCGGATCTCAATGACGGAATAAAAATAAAACAGCGATGTCACCTACTTAGGCAGCAGAATGAAGTGAAATGCCCACAGTAACTTAGTAGATGTCATGGATGGAGTCTTTCCTTCAAATGAACCTTTTTCAAATAATGAATATCTGATTTTGTGTGCAAACTTGAGTCGATGTAGATTTTATTGCCGTTGGCAAACTGACCAAAACAACTTTTCCAATTGCTTATGAAGCCAAAAAAGGACGTCTTACCTTTTCGTTTTATGTGATAACAAGACGCTACAGAGCGTACACTTCGGCGTCGTGGTTGTGGAACTAATTAATTGTAAATGCGGAGGAATAGTAAGAAATCAAATATGGTAAGAGTAAGGTGTTAATTTGTGAAATTATGGGATTTGTCAGGATATTCTGAAAAGAGCAACACCCAAGAGGCCTACTTGCCAAAAACTAGCATTTCGGGACAAATTGTCTCCGAGATATTAGCCCAGTTATGCTCTGATGACTCCATACAAATCCTTCTAAAATCTCAATTCTGTATTTTTCTTAATCACGTCAGGCTTCAAAAACAGCATAGAAGTCTCATGTACTGAATAAAGATGTGTAAGGTGTTGGGGCAAATTTTTTCCTTTTGTTTTTCGTTTTCTCACTTACTTGTTATCGTGTATTCTTTTTCTTTTCGCTCCGGTATTTCGTTAATTACGCTCCTTTGTTACGTGCTGTATGTAAATTTTGTTATAGTTTATTATCTCGCCCTTATTTATTACCAGTTTTACGGCTCTATTAGTGTAACAACATTCGTCGAAGTAGGTTTTTTCCTCGGTGGCCCTGACCACCAACCCCGTCTTCCTCAGCATTTGGTAAGCAGCTTCGTTTTTCATCGTTTTTTCATTAATTTCATTTTGCAGTCGCTTAAAAGTAGTGTTTCTGTATTGTAACTATTATTTTTTCGCTCTTTGTAGGAATTTACTTTTTTTTATGGTTTGGTAATAGTAAAACATTTGCTGCTCGAGAGTTTACGTGTTGTGTTTGGAATTGGCCCTTGCCCGTTCATTTTGTATGGAATTGGCCCTTGCCCGTTCATTTTGTAAATTCCAAATGACGGAGTAAATTATGGCGCATTCATGGACAGCCTCGAATACCCGCTCAAGCTCTCGGAGAAAAATAGCGAGTTCATGTCAAGAAGAAGCGTTACAAGAAGCTTTATTCAGCTTACGAAAGTCACTGGCAGGATATGTTTCAGCAATGACAAGAGCTTGTCAGCAAATTGATGCTCTTCTCGTCGATTACGGGAATCTGGCGAGCGTAAAATCTCTTCAAGTTAGTTTAGATAAGACATGGAACAATTATCGAGAAAGCATCGCACGTTATCGAAGTCTTGTGGACGAAAACAGCATGGAGATTCACGAAGTGAATAATCAGTACGCCTCTCGGGAATTACGAAAGGACAACTACGATCAAAAGATTAAGGAATTCACTATCGCTGCGGCTACACATTTTAACGAGCAAGTATCTCGAGACCTAGCGAACATTGGTTTGGCATCGCCGACACCATCTGTGCGCTCCGCAAGCAGTCGCGCTTCAAAGTTAAGCGAAGCAGGGGAAAGGCTTCACAACACGAAGATGGCGGCGGCAAAGGCTGCTTTAATGGAAAAGCAAACTGAATTGAAAAGGAAAAGATCAGTGGAGATTGAAATCAAACGTCTTGAAATGGAAATGAACCAGAAACAGTTTGAGTTGAAACAGCAATTAGAGTTGGCAGAGCTCGAAGCTGACAGAGACATTTCTAAAGCGAAAGAAAAGGCTGAATTGGCTGAGCTTGAAGCTAAATTTGCAGAAGCCGAGTTCTCGCAACTTTTGTTAAATGGAGATTTATCACCTAGCCGTGCTCTCAACCCTGTAGAACTGACTCCTGAAATTACTCCTGTCACTGTTGCACATGGAACTGGCTAACTCAGAAAACCACCACAAACCGCATAATATTAATCCAAGGTTTAATAATTATTCGATCTAAAAGAAATACATTTATAATTCGCAATCAGAACAAACGC